TCTTTTGGAATTATATTATATTTGTTAAAAAACCAAGTAAGACGTTTGTGATCATGTTTTCAAAGATTTTGTAGATGGTACATGTTAGAGATATTGGTCGATAAGCGCTGGGTAATGAGCGTGATATGTTAGGCTTTTTAATGGGTATTACAATTGAGGTTTGCCACTGATTAGGAAACTTGTTAGATGACCAGATTATGTTAAACATTTCAAGAAGTTTAAGGTGACCTAAACTAGATAGTTTTTTTTTATAAAAATGTAAGGAATATCGTCGGGTCGGAAGCAGTGTTCTTAAGAGTTTTAATAACCGAAGTAAGTTCTATGTAAGAGAATTGGGAATTTAAGTAGTCGATATCTTTGACAGTTGCCGAAGAACTTGGGAAGGGGGCATCGACTATTGGCTCGATTTGAGAGCAATTTATTTTGCTTTGAAATTTTTTGTCGAAGTGACTGGCTAGGGTATCACCAATTTCTTGATTGTCACTAATTACATTATCATTTAAAATTAGACTAGATATTTTAGTATTTGTATTGATTCGTTGAATTTGCCGTATTTTTTTCCAAAGATTAGTAGGACTGGTATTTTCATTGATAGAAGATACATAGTTTCTCCATGACGATTTTTTACTTTGTTTTATAATAAACCGCGACCTAGCTCTAGCTTTTTTTAATTCTGTGAGATTTTCTGGTGTTTTATTTTTCCGATAATTTGTAAGTGTCACGTTATGTTGTTCTACGGAGATTTTGCAAAAATTATTCCACCAAGGAACCCTTTTATGTTTGTGTGAAATTGAATTTTTGCCAATATGTAAATTGGCAGCTGAGAGTATCGTGTTTGTGACTAATGATAAATTGTAGTCAATATTGTTGGATAGTGTGAGAAAAGGTAAGGTGGTATCTGTTTTAGTAGTGTAGCTTAGCCAGTCAGCATTTTTGAGTTGCCAGTAGCTTCTGGATATAGTTTGTTTAGAGTTGGAGATATCAGTGGATATAAATATAGGGTAATGATTGCTATCGTAAAGATCATCAGCGACTTTCCAATTTAGTAAATGTACGGATTTTGGATCACTAAAGCTAAGATCTATAGAAGAAAATGTGCCTGAGGAGAAATTCAAGTGTGTATAGAGCCTGTATTTAGTAGACAGGAATCTGTACAATTAATTACATTTTCAACAGTTTTACCTTTGTTTGACGTGCTATTGGAACCCCACATAGGGTTGTGAGCATTGAAATCGCCAACAAGAATGTATGGAGAAGGGAGCTGGTAAATGAGGTCTAGAAGTTCTATTTCCTTTAGAGAGTGATTGGGTGGAATGTATACGCTACAAATAGTAATCTTATTAGGACACCAGGTGGTTATGGCGATAGCCTCAAGTTCGGTGGTGAGAAGAAGGTGCGAAGAAAATAGTTCACTGGAAATAAAAATTGAAGTTCGACCACTGGCTCTGTTGCAGTCAGTTCGAATATAATGATATCCTTCAAAATTCTTTAGTGTAGGAAGTTTAGTAATTTTTGAGTTAGTTTCTGCAAGCATATGATTTCAGGTTGGTCTTCGGTAGGTAATTGCTGGATTCTATCTATGTAAGGAAAGAAACCATCGCAATTCCATTAAATTATTTTGAATGTAATGTTTAAATGAGATAAGTGTGGGACTATTGTAAGGATTGTTGAGAACATTGAAAAATAGGAGCGATAGTTTCATCGTCAGTTAGGTAATCAGATGATGCACTCAAATTGTCAGAGTCTTCAGGATTAAGCTGTCTTTTAATTTTTTGTTTGCAATCTTGTTATTCAGCTTTTAAAGGATCTCTCTTTTGTTTGTGAATGAAGAAGAGATAAATCATTAAGCAATCCTTGGATATTGGAAGTGAAATTAAGAGCTTCTTTTGAAAAAAATGACAGTTAGTTCTGGTGTAGGAACTGGAGAAAGTTAAGAAGGGGCATTACTGTCAGCATTACTGTCACTGGATATAACCCGTTTCTGTCTCTGTACTGGAGGGGATGCTACCTGTGTAACTAAGGGGATGCTTTCTCCCAAATTAGTTGTAGTTTCGGAGTAGGATGTGGATGGTGCATTGATTTGATTGGGAGTGCATTCGGGTATTGTTGTATTTGAGGGTATGAATACGAATGTAGTGGGAGAGGGAAGTTGGGCTACAGAAATTGGTTCATTGGTACAAGTTTCAGCAGTACAGCAGACACAAATTTTCGATATGAAGTGTTGTCGTGAGTTAATAAAAGAGAGGTCTGGACTGAGAAGTTTTCTTTATCCGGAATAACGTATGACACTCTTCGGAAGCTCATTATATGTGCATATGCATCACCTAGCGAGCCACATTTCACGAATGACATAGGAGAGACTATCTGTAAACCGATATCTTTTAAAGCTTCTTCGACAATGCTGTGAGGTATCGTGGGAGATACATTTGATATAAGTATACGCTTAGCAGGTGTTATAAGTCTTCGGATAGGAACAACTGTTGAGTTAATAGTGATACTTTGGTGGGCACTGAGAAGATTGTCGATTAGTTTAACAGAGTTTAAATAAATACAAATGCGGTTATTTGAGATTCGAGACGCAAAGATTATATTTTTTGGGGTAACGATGTCTCCTATAGGTTTTATGTACTCAAATAGAACGACATTAGGAAGAGCATGTAAGATAATGGCTTAATTTTTATGAGGAAACGTAGGAGGTGGAGGCTTAAATAAAGTGGTAGCCACATAAAACAAAAGGAAAAAATGTAAAAATAGGATTCCAGAAGCTAATCATAGATGGAGAAATATGGACATGGAATAACAGCCAACGACAATTAGTAAAAGATAAAAATGTAAAACCAAAAAACTAACAGCAAAATTTAAACAGGCTAAAATAACGAAGACGACTTGGCAAGATAAAGGTACAAGAGATGAACAAAATGTAAAGATCATTACTGGAAACAAAGTAATAAACGATTGCATATTAGTAGGGACATGGAATGTAAGAGGAACGTACGAGGAATGAAAACTAAAACACATAATCGACATATGCAAAAAATACAAGTTCGAAATAGTAGCACTACAAGAAACAAAACAATTAGGGCAAAACTCAATGGAAGTAAACGACTATTTATTTTTCAACAGCGGGGAAGAAAATAGAATGTCAGGCACAGGCTTTGTGGTAAATAAAAAGCTGAAAGAATTTCAGAGTATATTAAGAATAAGAGGAAAATACCAAAAAATAACATTTATAAATATACATGCACCGACTGAAGACAAAAGTATAGAAATAAAGGAAGACTTTTATAATCAAATAGATACAGTATTCGAAAATATCCCCAAATACGAAGTAAAAATAGTGCTAGATGAAAAAGAAGAAATATATGTACCCACCATAGGAAAATACAGCTTGCATGAAACAACGAACGAAAATGGTCACTTCCTAATTGGAAATTGAAATTCACTACGCGAAAGAAAGAAATATGATCATTATGAGCACGTACTTCAAACACAAAATAATACACCAAGGAACGTGGAGATCACCGGATGGGAAAACCATAAACCAAATTGATCATGTGCTTGTCGAAAAATATATGCAAAAATGTATAAAGAACATAAGAACATACAGAGGTCCAGATGCAGATTCAGATCACTTTATTGAACCAGATTAATTGTTTTCTTTCTACGTCATCATTGATATTTCGCTCCATTTTCATTTCGTTTCTTATTTGTTCGTTCCTAACTCTTTCTAGTTTCGATCTACCGCAGCTTCGTCTCAGATAATCCATTTCTGTCGTCATATTTGTTTTTATTAGCTTTGGTGACGTCCCATACTTCCGAACCTTAAAGTGTAATACTTTGGACTATACTACCGTAAATGTGTTTTTTGGTTTCTCGTCGAATTGTTTTTTGCCAGAGAAGAGAGTTTAAGGCACGGGTCGCTGCTCTACCCTTGTTTATTCTTTCCCTGATTTCATCTGCGCTATTTCCCTTCTTATTGAAAATGACCCCCAAATATTTGCAGGATTGTACGCCTTTGATTTTGTCGTCTTCCAAGACTAAGTCACATATTTCATCTGTTCCCACTGATAGATATTCACATTTTGTCATATTCATGTTTAGACCTGCCACCTCATATTCTTCTTGCAGTTTTCTTACCATATAGCTAAGATCGTAGCTATCTTCGGCAATTACTACTTGGTCATCCGCAAAGAAAAGTGTATATAGCGTGTTTTCTTCCACAGTTATTCCCATGTTTCTACATTTTTTTACCCATTTCACTACGGATCTGTCCAAATAGATTTTAAATAAGGTGGGTGACAGACAGCAGCGTTGTCTTAGTTCCTTTGTTGTTTGAAAAGGAGAGATGATTTCTTGTCCCATTTTAATTCTTGCAAAGTTTTGTTCATAGTATTTTTGAGTGGCGTTAATAAGAATTGGGTTTATTTTCAAGTTATCCGTTTCTATCCATAGTTGGGAGATCGGTACACTATCGTATGCTTTTTCCAGGTCTATTAAAGCTATATGGGCTTCTCTATTTCTCTGCACTCGTTTTTCCATTGCAATTTTTAATGTGAAAATATTATCCATAGTGGAGCGTCCGGCCCTAAACCCCGCTTGTTCTTCGGGCTTCTTCTTCCTTCTTCTTCTTCTTCTTTCCGCTTGTTCTTTTATTCCAAATTGCAATAAAAGTGTTAGAAGCAATAACCTTTTCATATTTGGCTGATTACGATTCAGATTTAACTAAAATGTCATGCAATGATTCGCGATATTCTTAAAACCATATATGACGTCAAAATTAATGACGCACTGAAAGAACAGTTTGGTTCGAACTAAAGGTTAACAAGTATATCCATTATTACATATAAAAAAAAACGATCTTGTTTATTTCGTCTTATAATTCCACAAAATTGCGGTTTGTCTTTCAGCATACAAAATAATAATACCTATTCTGGTAATTCTCCGCTACTCGATTTGACCTGAACAACACGTAGAAAAAATACGTAAAAATAATAGCTTACTTTTTTAATTTACGAGCTAGGACCATCACCAGGACTCAATCCACCCTCACTGTCAATACTGTTACCCGCTGTTGGATGTTGTTTATGTTTCTTTTTCTCTACATGTCCATGGCAATGATCACATTCGTCTTCATCTTCATCTGAACTACTCTCGCCGAACTTTTTCGGTTTGTCATATATACAACAACCTAAAAGAGTAAAATTGTCACTAAAACTGTTAACAAAAGTTTTCTTTGTTTAGCCTAGCATTAACAAAGTAACAAATAAAAGAAATAGTCAGTCTTCCGTAGACAAAACTAACAATTATTCCAAAAACAATTCAGTTGTAAAATAAATCAAAAAAGAATTTTAATAATCTAAAGTGTCGAAATTGATAAGTTGGGGGCAACTTATTAGTCACAGTATCAGGAGATGTAGTACAACAAATTACTCTCTTAACTTTTGCAGTCATGTCATTTTCTTCTTTCTATAGTTTTACTTAAAATAATCTTTTCCTAGATGATATCAAGCAGAATTTAACACCTTTATCAACGTCTGTTTTGCTTTTCAATTTTTAGAAAGCACAGATTAAAGCAGAAATCTGAATTGTGTTTCGAAACTATTTTACGGTTTTATTATCAGATGTCGGTATTGCGTCCGTATCGAAACCATTTTAGTGTTGCTTCTTAAAAGACAGAAAATATTGATCTTTCACGTTGAGAACACATTTGAATAACTGTTCTGATGAGACCTATTAGGTCGAAATACGTATCAACAGATACAAAGGCGCTGTTTGCGTGAAATCAAGTATTTGCTGTCGTTTTCATTTTATTCGGATCTACTCTGTACGAGTACAAGAAACCAATTCGCGAAGGATTTCTGCTTAGTTGAAAAGACGATTATTTATCTTCCTGGCGCATGAGATAATTGCAGATGCTTTAAAAATCACTTTTAGTAGTGTAATGCGTAAATAAAGTAATGTAGAATTACTAATCACAGCATATAAACAAACGAATCCAGTATTATAGAAAATGCCGGCGATGTTTTTAACAAGAAATCATAAATATGGTAGGTCGTGGAATGAAAGTAAAAGGATGGCCTGTATAATCAAAATACTGTTTCTACATAAAACATTGATTTGTTTCTGGTTGTCTAATACCAGTGCTAGAAGAACCTAAGTACACAAGTTCTTAGAAAAAAAAAATCTTTATAAATCAGTTTTGATAAAAACGCATTAAAAATACAACTGTTGAATTTTCGATGAACTGCCGATTGAATATTTTACGAAAATGGACATCATCATTAGACTGTCTCATAACTAGCAATAGAATCCGATTTGGCTGGTTTTGCGTATGCATAAATAATATAATGATTGTCGTAAAGGAAAATTAGGATATATATATATATATATATATATATATATATATATATATATATATATATATATATATATATATATATATTGTTTGTTCTTTTATCTCTTCGTAGTCGTTCGCTCGTGACCGAACGTCGTGACATATGACGTAGATATATATTTACATGTAGGTAGTTATCCTCCTCCTCAATATTTTCTTCTTTTCTCCTTTGTAAGGATGTAGCGGCGTCATGTAATTTGTTTGACTGTTTCTGTCTAATTATCTCTCTCCTATGCGTGTTGTTTTGCTTCGGAGAATGAGTAACCAGTCATCTCCTTTATTTGGTCCGACCATCGTACTGGATGGTATCTTCTTCTGGATCTTTTACCCGCTACGTTGAATTCAACTATCATTCGCTCCATGCCTTCTCTTCTCTAGTTATATGTCCAAAATATCTCAGTATATTTTGATTGATAGTTGTGATGAGTCTAGTTTTTATGATACGTTCGGCTAGAATTGAGTTATTTGTGCGATGGGTGGTCCATGGTATACGCAACATTCTACGGTAGACCCACATTTCAAATGCCATTATACGCTTTGAAACGACTTTTTTATTGTCCAAGTTTCTGAAGCATAGGTGGCGATAGGAAATATCAATGCTCGAACAAGGCGCAATTTTGTGTTTTTTGTGATGTCAGTGTTCTTCCAAATTTTTGTGAGTTTGGCTGTTGCCGATCTGGCTATTGTGTGCGTCGATGGATCTCGTCTTAACATCCTCCACTGTTAGTAATAACGGAGCATAAGTAATTAAATTGCCTGACCACTTCGTAACTTGCTATGTTTCTTATCTCTGCTATATTGTTTCAGATTCTATAGATGGTTTTCTGTACATTTATTTTCAAACCATATTCCGTACTCACTGTGCCTAGACTATTCATAATTTGTTCCAGTTCTTCTGGTGATGACGCCAATATAACAGTGACATCAGCATAATGTAGGTTTTTGATTTTTGTTTCTCCTATCGTTGCTCCACCTTGCCATTCCTCAAAAACTGACGCATAATATATATATATATATATATATATATATATATATATATATATATATATATATATATATATATTGATTAGAATGGGCGATATTATGCATCCCTGTCGAACTCCTGATTTTAATTTCAAGTATTTCAAAACCATATTATTATCTCTTACATTAGCAGTATTATTTACATATAGTTTTTGTAATAAATAAATGTTTTGGCGTACCCATTTCTCTACGTAAATGCCACATTTCATCCCGTTTTACGACATCGAACGCCTTGGTGTAGTCAACAAAGCATCAATATGTTTCTATGTTAAACTCTCGAGATTTTTCGATAATTTGACGAATATTAAGAACATGTTCTCTTGTTCCTCTACCTGGGACGAATCCGCATTATTCTTGGGGAATTTGTAGTTAGATAATTGATTTTAGTCTTTTATTGATGATGGTTAGAAGTACTTTGCTCGTGCGTGATATCAATGCAACTTTGAAATTGAACTGCACTTAGGTGTTCTTCTAATTTGGTGTAGCTATATTCGGGAGTGAATGATAGTAAGGAATACTTTAACTACATGACTCATCAAATTAATTAATCTATATTCTTCACATTTCATAAAGTTGGCTTTTAGGGAAGTGGAATGTATGTTGATAGATATTGATAGTAGCCAGTCGTTTGGTAAGTGACCAGTCTCATATAGGTTGTCGAATAGCTTCGTAACAGCGGTGATTTGATGCGCCTCTAATAGCTTTAAATAATAATTATATTCTTTACGTATACCCACAACAACATTTCATACAATATTCAACCCACAAAAATTCAACAGTTTCAAAACCCATTTTCACGAACGGCTACGTTTTTCTATCAGAGAACTAAGATTCGAAGGTTAATCTAGCACTGGTATTAAAAAACCAAAAAAATGATGTAGCACTACCAGTATTATGTGAGACTTAAAACTTTCATTTTTGATAATAATTACTTACATTTTGATTTCTTTTTGTTCATATTCTCATTATCTACAGTTTCTGTGCTCCACTGAACTTTTCGATCGGTCCTTGGCTTTCTTAATTTCAGTCTAACCCTAGGAACTTCCTGCAACAAAATAAAATACGGTTACTATCATCGGCTCCATAAAGACTACCTTCACCTCCGCGCGGGAGTGAGTGAAGAGCCAGATCTTGAACCCGTCGTTACACGCGCTACGAGCGAATGCTTCAGCATATTTATTTATAAGCAATGACATTGTCTTAGCAGCAAATATAAAATTGACCATGAAGGAATGCGTAGAGCATCTTTCTTAAAAAGAGATGTCAACGTTTCAGAATAGTATCAGTAGTATGCCGGTCAGTATGCTGTGATACTTGATCAAAGTACTCTGTAGGTGAAGGCTGCGCGCGCGATCACCTTTTTGTGATTTCAAAGAAACTTTTATACTTTTATTTAATATTTGGGTAAGTTTAAGGTATATCATTAAAACATCATTATTGTTAGGTTAAGAACCAAGGGAATATTTGGAATTCAAGATGAAGCAAAGCCTCTCTAGAAATAAAACGAGAATATAATAAATGTGCCACATCCTAAGAGGAAGAACCAAAAGATGAAGCAGTGAATGTCAAGTTGTGGAAACCCGATTTGTAATGAACACACAAATAATTTTTGTGTTATTCTTGTTGGGAAAGAGAAAGAAGAAATAGAAGATGAATCTGTGTAGATGCATTCATTATCTTTAGATATGTACATTACCTTTAAGTGTTTTGATTATCTTATTTGTTTGCAATTTAATTATATTTCATTTATTTATTCGGTATTTCTAAACTTACTATATTTTTCAATTTGTTTTGTTAAATTCATGAAAATATTTTGGTTTATAGGACTTTCTATTATATGTAAATATAAACCATTGCAATTTTATACATACTGACATTCATTCTTCTTCGAAATACGTGGAATTGATGTAGGTGATGGTGACGGTCATACGCGTGCAATTACGTGCGGCATTCGTTGGCATTAGAAGCTGTGCGAAAGCAAATACAGAACAACGTAGAGTAAATGTTATGAACGAGTAGAGTACATGCAAAGGTAACTAGATTGTTCAATGTCGGATGAGCAAGGCTTGATTTATTTGGCCGGTTAAGTGGATGAAAACCAAAAATCCCAATCAATCCAGTAGAATTGCGAGGTCCAAAGGCTTGGCGCAGCGTAGAAACTACGTTGCGGGGTGTTAAATTGCTATTATGTTAAAGAGTTTCCTACTATACACTTCCTGGTATCAGACAACACCCGGTTTCGCTTCTCACGGCAACGACTCCCGCTTTCTCTTTTCACAGAATGTGAAGCTCTATCAGAAGTGATCATCAATTCCATAGCTTCCATGGGAGAAGAATAAACAAAAAAAGAAAACAACAAAGAGGAACGACGCAGCCCTAGTCTACGGAAACTATAAAACTAGATCCCGTTACAGGTTATAAGTACTTCCGAATATGAAAAGAAACTATTAAGTACTAAAGTACTTTAGCAGGCGCTTTAGTTTATAAGAAAGTCATAAACGTATATGTGGGGTAAAACTGAGTGCGTTCAGCCAACCTCAGCGGCTGGACAGCTGAGTATGCGGTAGCGTTCAGACGTCTCCAGCGCAAGTCGCTGGAAAATATTGTATAACGTGTACACCACGTTGTACAGGGTGGTCCTTAAGTAATTTCACAAAAAAAAAACCAGTAGATTCTACACTTTAAAAATATTACGATTTTGGCCAACTTGCTTTAATACAATATTGATATTAAGAAAGATACTGGGTGTTAAAGTTAAAATTTAAAATTATACTTTTCGCAATAATTTTAAGGTTTGTGGAAATTTATGTATAAAAATTTATAACTAGGGGCTCTTGAGTATGAGGAATTATAATTTGTTGCATACTTTTATATATCTAATATGGCGATATTGCTTTCAACAAAAAAAGATATACCTGTTAATAACTTTAAAACTCCACACAGTTTTCAAGATAACTGCATTTTACAGATCAGTTGCATACTAATTCTTAATACTGTAATATGTGTTCTTCAAATCACTGAATACCAGTTTATAAGCATAATTAATGGTTTATTCTTACAAAACAGCTCAAAGATAGATATGTAATACCACAACATGATTTCTTACCGCTGCTAAATAGGTTGGTTGACTGATTTTAATTTTTTTTTTTTCATGTCATGATTAGACAACTACTAATTCCAGTTGTCAGAAATGAAAATGCCACTGAATATTTAAAAATCTTACGAGCTGAAGCTGAATTTTGCCGAGAATGTCAATTTTGGGACCCCAAAAAGTTGCAAAAAAGTTTATCACTCCTACCTCCGGGCTTTTCCATAAAACCCTCCTCGTAGTGGGGGGGGGGGGAGTAAAACATTTAATTACCAATAATCAATACGCCGTAGACAAAAATGTTTCAAATAAGAAATGTGGCTAAGTTAATTTTAAACAAAAATGTTAGCACTTTTTCTGTAGGGTGAATCGTTCTTTCGGAAACAACGCTTGAAGCGAACGACAATTTTGAATATGTTACGAGCGTGAAAATTTATTAAATAAAATTTGTATCACCTCGACGAAAAATTTGACATCTTCTGATCAGAGTGCTCTATCGACAAAAATCAAAATGTGTTTTAAAGGTGAAGAGTGCAGCTAACAAATTTTTGTATTTTGCTGCAAATGAAGTAATTCTCTACAAAGCTGTTAAATAAATGACCATTGCGCGATTTTTGCAATTTTTTACGATTCTCGTGAATTCAATAAAATGTATTGCTTTCATTTATCGGTCACTATGAAATTTCAATTGCTGGAGCCTAATCTTAAAAACCTATAACATGAAATTTCGATTTTAAACTTTCACATCAAAAACGATCTAAAACGTTTAAAAGTCCTTCTTTTCGCTATAAGCTACAAATTTCTCTTAATGCAGTCTTTGTAGAAGGATTTCTCGTCATTTCTTTTGTAATGTGAAAGTAATTCAGCGTTTCATATTTTATGGGGCATATTGATAAATCAATTGAAGACAATGGTATATATAACGAACACATAAAAAAGTTTACTGTTATTCAGTTTAACTATTTCTTAATTTGGTTTGTAAATAAAATGTATTTTATTTTTATTTTAATTTAATATAAAACGTAAATTGTTTGATGTCAAATTCTACAACATTTTATTAAATTATCCTATTGATGTATGTAAAAAAATATTAGCGTATACTACTTTTGCTTTAATATATCAGAATCTTTAACTTTATTTAAAGGTATTTTATACCAAAATTCAGAAGTATTGATGTATTTGTCTACTGTTTTTCGTTTTCTGGAGTACTTGCGTTAAATCAGCGTTGAGCAGTTGATTTTTAAAATGCGATTACCTTTGAAGTTGTTAAAAAGTATATATTTTTTGAAGTGGCAACTTCTTTAGCGACGTTATGCACTTTTTGGATGGGGAAAAAGCATTGAACTCGCGACCTGTACACTACATAGCACTTCTTTTTACCTCTTATACCGCGAGATATATTATGTATACATATATGTGTATGTATATATATAATAGTATATGACGCACGCAAAACGTATATAATATATAGCAATTCTTTTTGGATGGGGAAAGTTTTCACTTCTTTCGGCACTCCCGCAGTGCCTTTTTTTTCTTGTTAAAATAATGTATCCTTAATGTTTTTGACCCACATAGAGCTAACTTGAAAATCAAAAAAATTAAGCGCACTCCTACTCAAAAGCACAAAGTTATAAAAGATTATACATAAAAATCCACAGACATAAAATTTATAGAAACCACAAGTGGGTAGTATCCGGATACTTCTGTATCCGGATACTTTTTATGTATCCGAAAGTTGTATCCGGATAAGTTTTAAATTTTGTATCCGGTATCCGTATCCGTGATCAAATTTTAAAGTATCCGGCATCCGGATACTTTTTTTGATATTCGGATACTTTTAAATATTTATCGCCCGCCGACAATGCACCTAACGTAGGCACAACACTTCCATTCCTTCAATCCAGATGTGTCTAATATGTTAAATCCCATTTTTCGTACTCGTTACCATTATAATATATTATTATATAGCTAATGGAGCTTTGTTTTTACCTAATCAGTTATAAATCTTCATAAGTACGTTGTCTAATTAATTATTTACATTTATTTTTTCTCTATCTCTTTTCAAGAACCCCTTTTTTTGTACACTCTCTAAAAAGTTTAAACTTTGAAAACTCGGCTGATCCGACGCTGGCCAAATTCAATTTGCTAAATTCAATTCAATTTAAATTTGGAATGGGAAGATCCAATTATAGCTGCGTTCTTCTTCCTAAAATTAAGCTTAAATGGTACAATGTCGTAAAAAAACTATAGAAGATATAAAAAAATACATTATAACTGTCGCCAAAACAAAAATAGAATTGGAAAGTTGCAATGAATCAGATGAAAGTGGAGATCAAAATTTGGATGACTTTTTTGATTTCAGCAATTTTCGAGACCAGCAAGTAGACAACAGCTGAAGACAACTATTAATTATTATACACAGAATGAACAGGGTTCCAGCATCAATAATAAAACTTCAAAAGTACAGTTGAAAGACTTTTCTCTTTTGAACTATGATCGATACGCCTAAAAGAAAAGCTTTAAGCGATGAACACTTTGAGGTATTGGTACTTCCAAAGGTACTTTACTCTTGACTACGTCAGCAATTGGAGTACTTTCTGTATTAGTACGTTTTTATTTTAATTTAATGTTTCCTTATAAGTTTATGTTCTAGTTTTATTATTCATAAGCAATAAACAATTTTTGAGTAGTTTCTGATTTCTTTCTCCATCATTTAATGTATTTTTATTATTATATATTACATTAAAAATACATGCACATCACATAGTTCTAATACTAAATAAGGTTCAACTTTAACACCATGTATCTCTCCTAATTGTATATGTATGTTATTTAAAAACATAAATGATGTATTCTTGATATGTTATTGACTTGTCTAATTGTCTAATTTTTCATGTCTAATAATAGTGGTATTTTCTTTCTACTGATTTCCTCTTTAATATTGGTCACAAGATCCTGCTTTCTGCCGAGGAATTGGCGTCGTAATTTGTTTCATTTAACATAATAAGAGCATCTTTGATTTTTTTCTTTTAACCATCTGATTGAATCTTTCAAGATTTCATGATCTCATATTTGAGATCTATCAAATTTTCTATTTTTTATATAAGA